GAATGTACTTACACAAGACAGCTGTGACACTAGGCTATATATCTCCTGGGACTATGGTGGTATATGTGGTCCTTCCCTGATCTTATGGAGGGCATGACTATGATTTCTTTATAGATTGAAGGAGCGAAGGGCTGGGGATTTGACTCAGTTGGTAGAGCACTTGCCCATTCTGCAAGGCCCTGGGTTCCAGTCCCAGCGCTATAAATACAAAGATTGAAGGAACTAGGTGAGGTGGGTGGGGATAGAAGTGGTGTTTTTTGTTTTTCTGTGGTACTGGGGATCGAATCCAGGGCCTCACATGCTAGGCAAGCGCTCTACCACTGAGCTACTACACCTTAGGACCCCAGAGTGCTGTTTTGATCAATGGATTTGGCCTGGACACTAAGGAGAGGATTTGAGTGAGAGGAGCCAAACTAGGCTGCATCAGGTGAATTAACCCTGATTGGTGGGTTGTAGGAGGAGAGGGTGGGCTATGAATATGGGAGGAGCCAGAAGAGGTTGGTTTTGTTTGGATTGGTGTTTCTAGCTTGGACTGGGAGTGGCCAACAACGAATGGGCGTGGTCCAAAGTGGGCATGGCCAGGCAGGACTGAGGCCAGGGAAATTCTGCCTTGATTGTAGAGGAAGTACTAGAAACTCAGAGAGATTACAGCAGCTGCTCTTTGCAGCCCAGAAGTTGGAGGGGCCAAGAATCTGAAGTTTGATCCAGGTTGGGTGTTTCCCTCCCTTTCTCCCAGCAAGAAGCGCAGCTCCCTCTTTCGGAAGATCACCAAGCAGTCCAACCTGCTGCACACTAGCCGCTCTCTGTCGTCCCTGAACCGCTCACTGTCGTCCAGCGACAGTCTTCCGGGTTCGCCCACACATGGGCTGCCAGCGCGCTCTCCCACACACAGTTACCGCTCCACGCCTGACTCCGCCTACCTAGGTAAGTTTTGCACCTGCGTGGGGTGGGGGGAGAGAGGCACTGGCTTATCAGTGGCCACTGGTGGCGGTGCTCACTGAGCGCTGCATCTCCCTGGCACGCAGGCGCCTCATCCCAGAGTAGCTCGCCGGCCTCCAGCACACCCAACTCGCCAGCGTCGTCCGCCTCGCACCACATCCGGCCCAGCACATTGCACGGCTTGTCCCCGAAGCTCCATCGCCAGTACCGCTCTGCTCGATGCAAGTCAGCTGGCAACATCCCCTTGTCGCCACTGGCGCACACGCCGTCTCCCACGCAGGCGTCACCGCCGCCGCTGCCTGGCCACACGGTAGGCAGCTCGCACACCACACAGAGCTTCCCAGCCAAACTGCACTCGTCGCCGCCCGTCGTACGTCCGCGCCCCAAGAGTGCCGAGCCTCCGCGCTCGCCGCTCCTCAAGCGCGTGCAGTCAGCCGAGAAGCTGGGGGCCTCACTGGGCGCCGACAAGAAGGGCGCACTGCGCAAACACAGCCTTGAGGTGGGCCACCCAGACTTCCGCAAGGACTTCCACGGCGAGCTGGCGCTGCATAGCCTAGCAGAGTCCGATGGTGAGACACCTCCCATCGAGGGTCCTGGAGCAACCCGTCAAGTTGCCGTCCGTCGCCTGGGCCGCCAGGAGTCGCCCCTGAGCTTGGGCGCGGACCCGTTGCTTCCCGATGGTGCTCCCAGGCCACCGATATCCAGCAAGGAGAAGGAGTCCCCTGGCGGGGCTGAAGCCTGCACTCCTCCCCGTGCTACAACCCCCGGGGGCCGGACCCTGGAGCGGGACCCGGGCTGCACGCGGCACCAGAGCGTTCAGACGGAAGACGGCGCGGGCGGGGTGGCAAGGGCGGTGGCCAAGGCGGCGCTGAGCCCTGTGCAGGAACACGAGACAGGCCGGCGAAGTAGCTCAGGAGAGGCTGGCACGCCCCTGGTGCCCATTGTGGTAGAGCCAGTGAGGCCGGGGGTCAAGGCAGAGGCGTCCCAGCCTCCAGGCACGGACTCCAAGGGCTTACAGGAACCCACCTCCCAGGCGCCCTCTGCACGGGAGGCCCCTCGGGACCGGGAGCGCTGGGTCCTGGAGGTGGTGGAGGAGCGGACCACGCTGAGCGGAACTCGCTCCAAGCCGGCTTCCCCCAAGCTCTCCCCAGACCCTCAGACACCCATGCTAGCCCCAACCAAGAATGCGCCCAGCAGTGCAGGGCCCCCAGCCCCACCCACTTCCCTCCTGGTCCCAGGCACCAAGCCTGAAGTAGGGCCGACTTCCCAGTGTCCTGTTGAAGCTGTGCCTCCAGCAGGCCTGACCAAAAAAGGGGCATCCAGCCCAGCACCCCCAGGTCCATAGCCAAGGAGGCCGTTGGTCCTGTGCTGTACAGCCATCCTATACATATGTACACATATAAATAAAGAGCGTCTGTGCTGTGTGAGCTCTCTGGGGCTCACCCTTTCTCCCCTGGCAAGGGAGACACACGTGCCAGCCCCCATGCCCCTGTGCCCGTTTGGAGGTGGAACTCTGGTCCTGGCTACCATGGAAAGGGGAGGTGAATTTTGAGTAGCAAGCACACTTATGCACCAGCTGTAACCAGACCCTTAGGAAGAGAAGAGGCTGGGGTGTCTAATCTGTGTCCTAATGCCTACCTGAAGAAAAAGTCAATAGCATCATCCAAAGGATTTCCTTTTATTCAACAATCCTGAGTGGAGTGTTACAATCTCCATTTTGTAGATTTGTAGACTAAGGCACATAATTGAGGTCACACAATTAAGAGGGGGCAAAACTGGGATTCAAACTCAAATCCAAACATGTTCCCAAGCCTTAGTTCTTTGTTCTTCTGGGCTTAGTTTTTTGTTCTGCTGACTCTGCTCTATTCTATACAGCTTGTCCAGTTTTTCACCAGGGGCTGGAAGGCCTTCCAGAGGGCAGGCAGCTGGGCACACAGTGTGCCTCCACCCCGATATTTTTCTCGGAGGTTCCTATTCATGTCACTCACACAGGCCCAGGGCCCTTCTGGGGCCACACACCATTTGGAGTGGTCCTCTGTGGCATTGAAGCTTGGTCCACTTGGTCCAGGGAAGCTTATCTGGGTCACATCCAGAACGTGTTGGGTCCCTGAACAGTTAGAGGGCAGGGTGCCTCTAGAATTTGGCCAGAACTGGACCTGCAGGTTGCTGCCAAGAGCTGCGGCCAACCAGCCTGAATACAAGTCTGCAGAAAATAGAAAGAGGACATGGCCAGGGGCAGGGCCAATGCTAGAGATTCCCTAGGTCACTCCCTGTCTCTGGGCTCAATTGTCAATTCTCATCAACTGCAAGAATGACAACATTAACATTAATGGCCCTTACCAGAGACTTTATGTGCATCACTTCATTCACAACCATGCTTTAAGGTAGGCATCGGTGTTCCCATTTTCAGACAAGAAAACAGGCTCAGATGAAATCACACATCACACAGCCAGAAATCAAAATCTGAACCCTGATGGTTGTTTACCTCTCATGTGATTATGGCTGCCAAAGAAACCTGATCTTGGTTTGTTCTAAGCCGTGGCTACACCAGATTGCCCTTCCACAAAGAACATACCACCCCCAGCCTCAAGGCTTACCATCTCCAAACTTTCCAGATTTGGCAAAGCTCTGGAAAGCGGTCCCTGCCTGTGACACCAGTGTTACACTGCTGTTCCAGGGTTCTTGGGTAACATGGGAGCCACTGACCACTTTCTCCAGGATGGGGAGTTTCTGGGCAATGACACCATCCAGCTTGAAGTCATAGACCAGGGGGTAGGTGTAGGTCAGTTGCCCGCCTGGAGGACAAGGAAGAAGGAAAAGTGAGGCTGATCATTCCAACTTTTGATAGGGGAATTTGGACTTACCTTGCTAACTCTACTCACCAATCTCTGAGAACTGGGAAAGGGGAAAAGACACACAGAGGAGAGTCTGTCCATATGTTTGAGCATTATGAGGCCAGCTGTATGCACCAGAGGAGGCGGGTGGAGGGAAACGTGGCACGCTGTGAACCAGCCAAAAGCCCCCTTCTTGGTCCAGGAGCAGGACGCCTGAACCAGAAGAAAGGGCTCAGGGGACTGCTCAAAGTATTCCCCTTCAAGCAAGATTATCTGCATTTTGCATGGGGTCTTGGAGAGAGTGTAGGCAGGGAACAGATACCCACCCTCCATGAGGTCAAATGTTAGCTTAGGAAAAAATGCATAAGGAAACAGGGCCCCTCCTTAGCTCCCAGACCAGGACTCACCTTTCGTATGCCCGCAGCTGGAAGAGTCCTGAACCATGCTGGAGTCAGGCGGCTGGTCATTGTAGAGTAGGAAGGCCAGCTGGGATGGGGGGTTGGGGGGAGAGAGGAGTAACCTAAAGGTTCCCCCCAGGCGGGGCCTCTCCTAGAGTCTCACACCCAGGTTGGGACAGCATCATTCACCTGGCTAGTGTTGCCACGATACAGCGGCAGCAGGCTGCGGCCCACGGCCCCTGTGGAGCTGTTGATGGACCCCGCGCCGTCGCGCCAACCCCCTGATTTCTCGTCCAAGTATTTGTACCGCATTCCCCTCCAGACCGCATCCCCAGGGTGGTTGTGGGCTGGCAGCTTGTAGACAACGAACCTGGAGGTTGGGGAAGGCACAGAAAAGGAGAAGGGGAAGAGAAGAAGCTCCATGCTTCATGGAACCACCCAGCAACGCCAGAGGCTACCAGCGGCTCTCCCGCACCTTGTCCCCTCCCAGCCCCGTGGCCTGCTGGCTCACCAGTCCACAGGCTGCCCCGAGTCCCCATAGCAGCTCAAGGCCCCGGCAGGGACCCACAGCAGAGCGACCAGCAGCAGCCGATTCAGCGCTGCCATGGGGCTGGAATTGAGGAATCTGGGTTGAGACAGGGGGGAACCGGGTCACAAGTTCCTAGAGGCCCTTACTTCCCCAAACCTGGGCGGAAACATCTCGAGGGTGGAAACTCCGCCTCTGAGAACCGAGGCAGTGATTTGGAAAGACAGCCTCCCAACCACTGCAAGGGCGGGGCTCCCCTCCAGGCGGCGCCTCCCCGCAGGCCCGCCCTCCACAGGGCCAGCCGCGGCGCAGACTCCGCCTCTCGCCACGCCCCCTTAGGGCGGGGCGGTCCGGTGCACCGCCTCTGATGGGGCCTCTGTGGGAGTCCCGCCCCGGTTTCTCTCTGGGAGGCTAATCTCAGACCACTCTTCTTTTGGAACCCTCTCTAGCTTCCGCATCTGAATCAAGCACAAGTTTGGGTTTCCTCCACTTTCTTGCCTTGTAAGTTAGGCCCAGCTCTTGTCACCTGTGTTCTCTTAAGGGGACCGATACTCCCCTTCTTCTCTGTTTTCATTTTGTATGTTTTCTCAGGCTCCCCCCCCCCCACGGAGCTAGCTAGCTGAGTCACCTTGGATCGTGATGACGTTTTGGGGCCGGTCTGAGGATTCTTAAATGGAGGGACACTGTCGTTGTGCATGTCCCCAGAGCTCAAGACAGGATACAGGACGGTGCTTAGTCTTAGAAGTGGAAAGGGGATGACAAAGCACTGCAGTGCCCGGAAGGCCCAGGTCATCGTAAGTGAGGGGATATCGAAGTTTAGATGAGGATGTGTACCCCCCACCTCATATCACCTCTGGTGGTACAACTTCCTTCCAGCTTCCAACACTCATAATCCAGTCAGGTCAATGAGGAAGCTTTATATAGGAAGGGCATTTTTATAGGACCCATAACCATTCCCAACTGATGTGGAGGTTCATGAGCATTGGCATGAAGCCCCTTTGCAGGCCCCGGGTCTCTGGGAAACCTCACACCACCCACCTCCCACTGTCCAGGGCTTCCTGCAAGCTGGTCTGAGTCCCATTTATTTGATGGTCTGTTGCGCTGGGTCTGTGTGACTGTTAGATATTTCTGTGTGGCTCCCTTTGGTTGGAGACTCCCCTAGGTTTGTCTGTGTCAGTTCTTGATCTTTCCGTGGATTTGTGGAGTCCAAACAAGGGTCCTCTGTCCTTGGGAAAACAACCCTGCATGGATCCACTTTTTATATTCCCCAGTTCCTGGCAAGATCCAAGTACCAGGGCAGGGCCTAAAGATGGCGCTTCATGTGCAAGGCTAGGTGGTCGGAGCGTGAAAAAGCACGCGGGCAGAACTGGCAGCTGAAGGGACGAAGTCCTGTGTGTTTCCGGAAGTGACGGGTCAGCTCATCAGAGCGTGCAAACTTCCAGCCGCAGCCATCCCACGAGCAGGCATATGGCTTCTCTCCTAAGGGGCAAGGAAGCTGTGAGTGCCACTGTCTGACCCACCCTGTCCCTGGGTCTGCTGCATCAGGTAACATCCCTTTTCTCAGCCTGGACCAGAACTAGGGTGGGGCAAGTGAGGTATCTAGGGTATAATACTAAAGGAACACTCATTTTCAGGGGCCTGCAGGTGTATGCACCCTTCTTCTTCCTCTATACCTCCAACTGGCTCACACACACTCTCATTTCCTGGGCCCAAGCCTGCACCCTACACCATTGTCCTCACTTCCTATGCCCTAGTACCCTGTCCTAGGACAGCCCCAACCCCGTCCTTCTGTCTTGCCTCCAATAGTCCAGGCCCTTTCTTGCACTAGGGAGCCCTTAGCAGCTGTGTAACCTCGCCCCTGACCTTGGTGTCTGAACCCTGAAATTCACCTCCGTATTCCAGGCCTTGTGTCCAGTGGTTATGATCTCCTCGCTGCACTTGAGGGACAGTATACACTTGGCCTAACCCTTGTCTATCACTCCCGGGACCTAACTTCTTTTTTATTTTATTTTTTTGTTGTTGTTGGTGGTGGTGGTGATGGGAATTGCAGCAAAGGCCTTAAGCATTCCAGACAAATGCTCTACCACCGAGTCACATTCCCAGTGCCTTTTTATGCCTTTTGTCTCCCAGCTCTCCCCTCTTCCGCTCTAGACCTGCTTGGAAGTCAGGCCTTTCCCCAATGAGTCGACCCTGAAACAGATTATACCCATCTTATCCTGCTGGGTCCTAGCCACGCCTCCTACGAGTCTGGTTCAGCCTCAACACCAAGCAAACACGTGCCTGGAAACGCTGGCCATGGCCTCAGTGGCTCTGGCATTCCAGATTGAACCCTCCCCACAATCCCTCCTCTAGCTGCACCCCTCGTCCAGACTTCTGCCTCTCCGACCAGCCCTGGCGCAGCTCTTACGAGTCGGCCCCCAGTACTGAAACGCTCCCCCAATTTTCCAGGCCCTTTTTCTGCCCGGTCCTCCTCCAGCGTTGGTGCTGTGCTCTCTGGCTCTGCCCAGAAAGTTCCAGATCTCCTCCCCGCTCACTCGGCCCCGCCCCTTGCTGTGACTCTGCTTGTAGCCCTGCCTCTGCCGTCCAGAACCTGCCCTCCGGCCTGCACTTCGCCTTTAGCCCCCGCGCCCTTCTTAACTTCTCGCTCTGCGGGGCTCTGCTCTGGGGTCCTGTCCTAACCCGGCTGCGCGCCCGGGCCCCGCCCCCTTACCCGTGTGCGTGCGCAGATGCGCCTTCAGGTGGGAGCTCTTGGTGTAGCTCTTGCCGCACCCCGGGTGCGCGCACGTGTGCGCAGCCTGCCTCTTGTGCGTCCACGGTCGCCGACCGCGCTTAGATGGAGCGACGTCTGTAGTTACTCCTGAGTCTCCTGCGGAGCCCCCGAGTCCCGTGCCCACCGTCCCGGGTCCCAGGCAATTCAGATAGGATGGGGTCGCGACGGGGGCAGGCGAAGGCGCCGGGAGACCGGGGAAGAACTGGAAGTGCCCTTGATACTGCGGCGCTGGGTACAGCGCGGGATACCCCGATAGCAGCCCGTAGGGGGCGCCCGGAGCCGCGGGCACTGAAAACCCGGTCCGCGGGAAGTAGCTACCCGAGGAGCCCGCACCAGACCCTGGGTACACTGGCTGCAGCTGCAGTGCCTTGGGCTCGGGGGCTGGGGCCAGGGCTGGTGACACTAAGGGGTTGGGAGCTGTCGCCCCCTGGGCAGGGCGAACCCAGCCTGCCTGCTCCTCGGAGCCCAAGAGCCCAGCTGAAAACTCCGAGCCGCCGGCATACGGGCCCAGAGTCTCAGGCGGCGGTGGGAACTGCGCCCCGGGGCCCTCACTGGACGTCAGAGCACAGGTCCGGGGCTCACCGCCCGGCTCCGGGCCCGGAAAGTTGGTGAGCAAAAGACTCAGGTCCCAGTCGGCGGCCGCGTCCTTCTCATTGTCCTCGTTCTCCCTAGGCTGGTCTTCCGACTCCATGCCCACGTAAAGGGGTGGCCCCGTGTGGTCGGGGGGACCTGGACCCATGTCCTGTGCCTCCTCGGAACGCCACCACTGGAGAGGGAGCGCACAGCTTGAGACTTGAGCAGACACCGAGGGGTACTTTACCCAGGGACAGTGGCTGGCCAGAGGCTTCTGAAAGGGGACTTGTCTGACTGTCATACCCCAAACTACCCCCCTAACTCTCCTTCAGCTCCAAAGACAGAGGTCCATAGGTCTGTCTGGAGAGAGAAGATAAGACTTCCTTTATCTGCAGCCATATTCAGGATGGGGGAAGGGTGGTAGAACTGGGGATGGGAGGCTGAGTTGGGGAAACCCAGCCTTGACTCAGTTCCCCCCCAGACCCTCCCTCTCCTTCCCCATCTCCCAATAAGATTAAGTCCCAAGGACCGGGAAAAACCCCAGATAGCTTTACTCTTTCCAATTGATATTGGGTTCATTGTTTGTCCTTCTGAGCCTAAATATGCAAGGGGTTCAGCTCACACCTCAGTTTTCCATTTCAGAAATAGGCCCCATCCCAAACCTCAGAACCCCCTAGACCTGGATGGAGGAGAATACCAAGGCAAAATGCAGGCCTAACCTCCCCCCAAAACCTGTGGCCACAGCACTGACTTGTGGACAGCCCACCTGGATCCCACCTGACCCCACCTTAAGGAAGTCCTCCTGGGTGTCCGGGAAGGGGCCCAGGGTCGTCAGCGTGCTGATGGAGGGCAAGGCAGTCTCAGCTGTGGCCATGGCTGGCTGGTGCTCACCCCGCACCTCAGGCCTCCTCTCCCTTGGCTGCCTCGTGGGCTCTGAGGCTCTCTGGGCCCCTTGGAGGGCTCCTCTCAGCCCTCAGCTGATTGGCTGCAGCCCTTGATAAGGCACAGACAAGGCAGGGGTCACTGTTTCAGGGGAACGGACCTCACCTCCTACTGTTTGGGGCTGGGCCTGAAAGACTGATTCTGTTTTCAAAGCTAAGTCAGATGTCAGTGGTTGGGGGGGGGTCCTGGGATTGAGGGTGCAGGTGCTGGGTAAAGAGGCACTGAGTCCTCAAAGAGGAAGAAGCTTAGAGGCCTGTTCTCAGTTTACCTTTCTGGAGAAAGGGCAAGTGACAGAATGCATATTCTGGGAAGGGGCTGTGGGACCCTCTTGTTCCCCAATAGGACTCTGCAGCCCTTCCCCTCCCCAATAAACAGCAGCAACCGTGCTGATGGCGGGACTTGGCACGAACTCCCTGCCAGGCATTATCAGACACACCAGATGTCGGAGGTTGCTATCAGGTGGGGGCCCAGAACACCCAGAGCTGTGTCCCCAGTGAGGGGGAGGGCTGGAGGTTGGGTCTGCAAACTAGCTTGGTTTCATACTGACTGGGATGTGAGCTCTCCGGGTCTGAACCCTGTGGTGGGAGGGAGCCCCTGCCAATCAGCCAACCATTGCCTACCACTGACTCTCAGTGGACACTGCATGGAACTATGGGGAAGGGGAGGCTGGTGCAGTTACAGTTGTTTCAAGGTGATGGGGGCAGGGATGGGATGTTGGATCAAGCAGGAGACCCAAACCCTGGCTCTGGGCCTGGCCACTGCTCGATGAATGAACCACACTGAGGTTCTGCAAGAGAGGCCTCCACTCTGGTGCCTGGGGAGCTTGGATAGGCACACAACCTCACGCCCCAGAAACAGTTCCTAGCTACACATAGCCATGCAATTACATAGTGACACAAGTTCCTGATCTCTTCGTCCAGGAAACCACACAGAAAGTAGGGTTTCTGTACATATACAGTCATCCTTCCATATCCACAGGGGATTGGTTCAGGACCTCCCTCCCAGATTTTAAAATTCACAGATGTTCAAGTCCCTTATACAAAATGGCACTATTTGTATAGAATCTTCTTACAGCCTTTAAATACTTTAAATCATCGCCAGATTAATTATAATACTTAATGCACTGTAAATGCTATGCAAACAGTTGTTGATACTATATTGCTTAGCATTGCACAATATTTACAGACACAGTCCTGAGATACAGAATTCATGACAGGTGCTGAAAAAAATCCCAGTTACACAATCCCACTGATACAGTTTGGCCACAACAAAGTAGACACACGGAGATTCCTGGGTATGTTGTTATTATAACTATTGACGTCGCACAACCCCCTAAAACAGAGGTGGCCTCAGACACAAAAAAATAAAACATGGCTGCACACAGCTGTCCACAAACATAGTGATGGAGTCATGCACACAACCATACATCATAAAATCACAGACATCCTCCCCCAAATCTGCACTTTAAATAGCACACTACCTGCCCCGGACACAATATGTAGCCACAAATTTAGAGTTACCATTGCCAAACCATAGGGGGCGCAAGCAGCCAAGCACAGGCAATCACAGGGACATGGAATCAAATGTCCTAATACAGCACACAGCTTCACCCAGACACAGATGTGTCACCACAGACCAGTCATAGTGTGCCATAAACACACCACACAAAAAAGACAAAAAAAAAAGCTGGGCATGGTGGCGCTCACCTGTAAGCCCAGTGGCTCAGGAGGCTAAGACAGGAGGATTGTGAGTTCAAAGCCAGACTCAGCAATGGCAAGGTGCTAAGCAAGTTAGTGACACCCTGTCTCTAAATTTATATATATATATATACACACACACACACACACAATAATAATAAAAATTTTTTAAAAAAATTTGCATACCCTGGGGTAGAAGGGAAAGGTAAAAAGCAGGGTTGGTACAACTACTGGGATGGCTGTAATTTTTTAAAAATGGAAAATAGCCAGGCATAGTGGTGCACACCTGTAGTCCCAGGTACTTGGAGGCTGAAGCAGGAGGATCACTTGAACCCAGGGCTTGGAGACCAGCCTCGGCAACACAGCCAGATGCCATCTCAACAATAAAATATAATAGAGCTGGAGGTGCAGCTCAGGACCAGAGTGCATGCATAGCATGCCCAGGGCTGTGGGTTAAATCTCCAACACTGTGAACTAGATAATAAAGAGAATTATAAGAACAAAATGGAAGTGTTGGTGAGGACGTGGAGAAATCAGAACCGTGGGAAATCACACTGTTGGTGGTATAGCCACTATGGGAAACAGGTGCTTTTTGCTTATTTTGTTTTGTGCTAGGAGATTGAACCCAGGGCCCCACACACTGAACTACATCCCCAGCCCTTTTTGTTTTTTGAGACAATCTTGCTAAGTTCTTGAGGCTGGCTTTCATGAACTTGCAGTGCTCCTGCCTCAGCCTCCCAGGTAGCTCGGATTACAAGTATGTGCCACCTCACCCAGCTGGAAAAGTTTATTTATTTATTTAACTTCATTTATTTTTCTGTGGTGCTGAGGATCGAACCCAGGGCCTCACACGTGCTAGGCAAGCGCTGTACCACGAGTCACAACCGCAGCTCTGGAAAAGTTTGATGGTTCCTCAAAAGTTAAAAATGACCCAGCCAGTCAAATTACATGCCTGTGCTAATGAATTTTACACTTTAGAATGGTTAATGTGATGTGTATTTCATCTCAGTGAAATAAACTGATTGTAACTGGAGTGGTTTTCTGGAGAGGAAGGCAAAGTTTCTCTTGGGGAGAGATCTCTGTTTAAGATAAGGCACTGGGGCTGGGGATGTGGCTCAAGCGGTAGCGCGCTCGCCTGGCATGCGTGTGGCCCGGGTTCGATCCTCAGCACCACATACAAACAAAGATGTTGTGTCCGTCGAGAACTAAAAAATAAATATTAAAAATTCTCTCTCTCTCTCCTCTCTCACTCTTTCTTAAAAAAAAAAAAAGGCACTACACAGACATGTTTGGCTCTTCAAGATGAGGCAAGAAGACAGGGGTCTAGGGGTTAGGTGACATCTGGTTGGGAAACAAAGTTCCTTGGAGTGTGTGGCCAGGAGGAATGATAGATTTCTTACAGCAGAAAGGTTTGAATCTCAACTTGGGTTTTCCAGCATGTATGTTGTCATCGCTCCTTCACCCCTAACGAGCATCAGAGAACTCCAACGCCCCATACCAGCACCAGGGAAGGAGGCTTTGGTGGAAAGGAGAGAAGCCACTAGCTACAGGAGGAGGGAGGTGACCAGGAGACCTGTGTGGAATCCCAGGCATTTCAGGGTAGTGATAGATTTCCTGCAGTGTGGGAAGAAGGACTGGAACCATTTTATTTGGATATTAAGAGTGAGAAGGGGGCTGGGGATGTGGCACAAGTGGTAATGTGCTCACCTGGCATGCGCAGGGCGCTGGGTTCGATCCTTAGAACCACATAAAAATAAAATAAAAAGATGTTGTGTCCATGGGGCTGGGGCTGGGGCTCAGTGGTAGAGCGCTTGCCTAGCATGTGTGAGGCACTGGGTTTGATCCTCAGCACCACACACACAAAAAATAAATAAATAAAGATATTGGGTGTATTATATATAATTTTATATATATATATATATGTTGTGTCCACCGAAAACTAAAAAATAAATATTAAAAAAATACTAAAAAAAAAAAAAAAAAAGAGTGAGAAGGGCCCAGAAGGTGAGAGGGTCCAGGGGGACTTAGGCCCCAGACACTTAGGGATAGGCAGGCCAATGATCACATTCAGACACAATCCCACACTAAGTCAGAGATGATGTGAGAAGCAGGGCCCACCAAACAACATCACTCTCTAGAGTGTCAATGTGGATGGCAAGGGCCCTGGTTAGACCCACTGTGACACTGAGCAAGGCCCTCCTGCTTTCTGGGCTTTCTTCAGTTGGTAAACAGGCAAGTCACAGTAGATGTGTAACTGTAAGACAGAGGACATGGTCAGGCACTCAATTCCCAGATTCAAATGCATGACATACAAATGCTCCTTAAAGAGACCTAGTAGTAGGCTGTGGATATAGCTCAGTTGGTAGAGTGCTTGACTCCCATGCACACAACTCTGGGTTCAATCCGTAGCACAACAACAACAAAAGAGACCTAATGAGTACAGCTGCTCACTTAGGCACAGATGTATCACACCTGGGCACATAACCACACAAAACGGCATACAGATCGAATCACAGATGCATACAGATACACAACCACAGACTAATACACAAATAGCAGTCATATGATCACAGAAATAAGGGAGGGGTGTTGCTCAGTGGTAGAGTAAGTGTTTAGCATTCATGAGGGTGTGGGTTCAATCCCCAGCACCAAACAAACCCCAAAGATAACAGCCACACCTGAAAAGAAAACCACTGAGTCTCACACACACAATCACACAGAATATCACTGCAAAAGCTTGTACACAGACAAGAAAGCACAAAGACACACTACACTGACAGGCACAGTTACACAGAGTTTACACCTGGACACAACCCCCAGTCAACTGAGACATAAAAACCCACGGACATGACACAAGCATTATCGTAATCACTCTGACACAATCATATACAGATTCTGGTCATCTCAGAATCACATGTCCACAGGCCAGGCACAGTGACTCAGGAGGCTAAGATTAGAGGATCACAAGTTCAAGTCCAGCTTCAGCAATTTAGCAATGCTTAATTAATTTAATGAGAGCTTTTCTCAGAATTAAAAAATAAAGGGCTGAGGATGTGCATATATATATATATACACACACACATATATATATACATGCATGCACGAGCGCGCACACAAACGTATTTGTAAAGCCAACTATTAATAGGATTATAACTACACACAATTACAATTACAACCACAGAATATAAGCAGAATCATACGAGAGAAAAGCACAATCAATTCCACAGAATATACACCAATGCAGAAATAATCACAGAAACGCACAGTTACAATATCACACAAATTTCCAGAGAAACACAATCCCATACACACAGCCGCTAAGGCAGAATCCAAATGCACCATCCCAAGTCTCAGAACGCCACAAACATGCATACAGTCAGTCCCACCTACATACAGATGGCACACTCGGGCACAATCACAGCAGACGCACAGAGTCACACAAGATCTCCCACACGTAGCTACACGTGTTTCCTGGGATAGATTGGCAGACAGTTGGGCTAGGGTCTCCCACTCGCAGGCCACCTTCCCCTCGACGGGAGTTCCCAGACTTTCTCCCCTTGTGCCTAAGTTTCTTTATTCAACTCCGGGATCCCTCCGCACACGCCCCCTGCATCTGGGGCCAATCAGAACACGAATACTACTGGCCAATCGGCTTGGCGCACTCGCCTTCCGCCCCTTCCCTGTTCCGCTTCTTAAAACGGCCAACCTGCCTAGACCTGGGCGCGCCTGCTTCCACCCGGAGGGCGGCCGTAGCCCCTTTAAAAGGCAGAGCCACGGAGGAGCCGTGTCTAAGAGGAACCAATGGGAAAACCCGTTCTGTGTCGGCTCCGCCCACCTGCGGCTGAGGTCAAAAGCTTCCGTCAGTTGATTTGCGACCTCCAGGGAGCTGGAGGCACTGGGTACACTAGGGGCCAACTTCGCTGGTGGGAGCCTTTCGGCCTCACGCCCCCGCTCTTCCAGGTGGCAGTCTTTGCATCGCTCGCCCCTTGCTGATTTCATGGCCCTGAAAGGCGTCTCCCTGCGGTTGCTGAGCCGCTGGCCCCGCCTGCGCGTCCTGCGCACGTGGGGCTCGGCGGCTGTGCACACTGGTCAGTGTCCGGGTGGGATGGGGAAGGAAGAATTGGGGGTTCGGGAGCGTTTCCTATGTAACTTTTACGTTGTGTGTTTGCAGAGAAAGGAGGGAGGACACAGAGTCAACCGGCCACATGTAAGGATCTTTAGTCACACTGTTGTTCTTCGGCCCCTGTCCAGCTGTCTGCCTGCCCCAGGTGGACTCTGCCCCTGAATCCGAGGGCTGCCCAGGAGGGGAGGCAGGGGCATGCTCAGGGTCAAAGGCGCTAAGATTATGGGTGCACTGATCCTTCAGGATCGGAGAATGGTCACTTTTGTCAGTCCTGTTTGCAGCCCACATCCTCAAGGAGCGAGTTAGGGGTGAAGGGGTGGGCCAGGCTGAATCAATTCCCAACCCACTCCAGCCTCTCGTCCTGAGTTTGACTGGCGTGACCCCCTGGTGCTGGAGGAGCAGCTGACAGCAGATGAGATCCTCATCAGGGACACCTTCCGCACCTACTGCCAGGAGCGTCTTATGCCTCGAATCCTGCTGGCCAATCGCAATGAAGGTGCCTAGTGGTCCGGTGGGCACCCTGGGATCCCTTCCTCACTGAAACTCTATCCTCTGTCATTTATACCAGCTCTGCCTGCTCTAGTATCTGGGCTCTTCTGTCTCTGGACCTGTGGCCTGCAGAGGACCACAGCTGGGCCTGAACTCAGACATCTGTCTCTTCACAGTTTTTCATCGGGAGATCGTCAATGAGATGGGGGAGCTGGGTGTTCTGGGACCTACCATCAAAGGTAGGGACAAATTTCTCTCTGTACTTTGTAGACTTCACTTTGTCCCATAGTCCTTCCTTTCCATGAGCCACAGTTTCTTGATCTAAAATGGGACTGGTTATCCCTCTTTTCGAAAGCAGCTGTGGGATGAGATGAGTAAACCCCCAACTACAGCCAGCTCCCTGCCTGCTTCCTTGGGTGCCCAGATGTAGCATTCTCTCTTGGGTCCCAGAAGTCCCTTGTCCTGGCTGGACTGGGATTTGGCCTTTCTTATCCTACCTGCTCTTCCTCATGCCCCCAGGGTATGGCTGTGCTGGGGTCTCATCTGTGGCCTATGGGCTCTTGGCCCGAGAGTTGGAGCGGGTAGACAGCGGCTACAGGTCCATGATGAGCGTCCAGTCCTCCCTTGTAATGCAACCTATCTATGCCTATGGCAATGAGGAGCAGCGGCAGAAGTACCTGCCCCGGTTGGGTGAGTGGCTATCTGTGGGGCTGGTGGAAGGAAGACAGACCCTGTGATCTGGAATGCAGAAATGTGGCCTACCTCTTTCCCCATCTCAGTGATTGTTCCATCTGGTTGTGGTGGCACACACCTGATAATTCTGGGAGGCTGAGGCAGAAGAAGCCTAAAGTCAAGGCCAATGGGCAACTTAGTGAGACCCTGTCTCAAAAGTAAAAAATCAAAAGGTTAGGGATGTAGCTCAGTGGTAGAGTGCTTGCCTAGCATGTGGGAGGCTCTGGATTCAATTTCTAGTACAGCAAAAGAAAGAAATGGCACCATTGACCACCTGAGTCTCTCTGACAAGGCCCTGGGATCACTTGGATACCAGATCACTCACCAGTCTTGACCATCTCCTCTTAGATCTGTCTTGTCTCCTGATTTGCTTTCTGTGTTCCAAATCCCAGACCACAGTGTAAAGTCTTAACTTTCTAACCATGTCCATGAGACCCCCTGCATGACCCTGCCTCTGCTCACATTTCCACCTAATTTCTGGCCACTCTCTCAATTGCTCCTCCTCAGCCAGGCTCAGCTGCTTGGGATTCTTCAAAGGTACCCCTGGGCCTTTGCCCATCCCATTCCTCTGCCAGGATCTATCTTCCTCACACTCTCCTCCTGTGTAACTTCTCTGTGCCTTCAGGACACTCACCAACTCCTTCCTGATTCCCTGGGGCCCATTCTCCAGCATGGCATTGTGATGATGGCCTGGGAGAACCATTTCTTCTACTACCTGGGAGTGCTGGCAAGGCAGGGCCTGACCCACGTTGGTCAAGGAGCCTGGCTCAGTGGGGAAACTGGTAATTTTTGTTTGAGAGGGTGAATGTTGGCTCAGCAGCCCTGTGACTCTGTTTTGTGCCTGCAGCCAAAGGGGAGCTTCTGGGCTGCTTCGGGCTCACAGAGCCCAACCATGGGAGTGACCCTGGCAGCATGGAGACCAAGGCCCACCATAACCCATCTAACAAGAGCTATATTCTCAGTGGGACCAAGACCTGGTGAGAGGCCTGGGTGTTGGGCAGGCAGGTGGATAGGGCAGGGGGTCAGCAACCAGTCCTCTTACTGACTGTCCTGTCCCTAGGATTACCAATTCCCCTGTGGCTGACCTGTTTGTAGTGTGGGCTCGGTGTGAAGACAACCGCATTCGGGGCTTCCTTCTGGAGAAGGGGATGCGGGGCCTCTCAGCCCCCAAGATTGAAGGCAAGTTCTCGCTGCGGGCTTCTGCCACAGGCATGATCATCATGGATGGTGTGGAGGTGCCAGAGGAGAACCTGCTGCCCAATGTGTCTGGCCTGGCGGTGAGTAGTGGACACTTGGGTAAACTGGTGTCAGGTCACCTTCTGGTTCACCTTTCTCAGGCAAGGATTGAACACACACACTGTCCCTGTGCTTATAGAGCATAAAATGAGGCTCGAACTGACTCACTAACGTGATAATGTCCTTTTTGGCTGACCGTCTTGCTTATCTTGGTTCTGCCCAGGACACCTGCGGGCCTGCACCAGCCTAAGCCTCGCAGTCATGGTCATCTTTCAGTCTCCTTACGCCAGCCTCCTAGGTCTGAGCTCTGAATCCAGGTCCCAGGCTGGGTAGGAGTGCGCAGATCCAGAGTGGGCAGGCACCGGGCCAGGCCTGCTGCACTGGAGCTTTGCTGCCAGGGCCCTGTGTGATTAAATGGCTGCTGGGTCCCTGTCTGGGGTGTCTGGGAGGGAGTTTTCCCCTGCTTCAGAGTTGGTTCTGCACAGGCGCTGAGCCCCAACACCCTCAACCCTACAGGGTGCCTTCGGCTGCCTCAACAATGCCCGATATGGCATCACGTGGGGCGTGCTGGGAGCCGCCGAGTTCTGTCTACACACGGCCCGGCAGTACACCCTGGACAGGTGTGTGTGGCATTTATGCTGTGAGATTCCTGGGGGTGTGAGGGGTCTTGGGATCCATCTTGTACCCAGTGGTGCTTCTCCAGTTCCTGCCCTTCTCTGTGAATTCCTTCTGCGCAGTGAAGGGCTGAGTCCACAGCTGGGCCATGGTGAGCTCCAGGGACAGGTGGGCTTCCTGGTACAGTGGGCCTTGGGATGAGACCAGGGAGTGGGCATCCCTCCAGCTCTTACCTGATCTTACCTGTTCAGGATCCAGTTTGGCGTACCATTGGCCAGGAACCAACTAATTCAGAAGAAGCTGGCAGACATGCTCACTGAGATCACACTGGGCCTCCATGCCTGCCTGCAGCTTGGCCGCTTGAAGGATCAGGACAAGTAGGGGCCTCAAATTGGGGGAGGCAGCTATGGTGGGAGGACTCTGTGCCCCTCCTGGGGAGAAGGCCCTTTCTCCCTAATAGTTCCAGGGACCCATGCTTCTCTTTCTCTTGGCCTTCATGGACTGGGCCAGGAATGGCCTTGGTCCCTTATTGGGAGCTTGGTGGCTACACTAGGGAGTCCACCCTCCCACTGGCTGGGTTTGCTCAGGGCATCAGTTCTTTGTATCTGTTGCTTGTTACATGTATGTGCCACTTCCAGGGCCACCCCAGAAATGGTCTCCCTGCTAAAGAGGAATAACTGTGGAAAAGCCCTGGATATTGCCCGCCAGGCCCGAGACATGCTTGGGGGGAATGGGATTTCTGATGAGTATCATGTGATCCGGCATGCCATGAACCTGGAGGCTGTGAACACCTATGAAGGTAGGGGCTGGACCCTTGGCTGGGACAGGGGTGGGGTGTCACAGTGGCCTTCTCAGTGTCTTGGGACAATATGTTTCATCCTACTCCAGCTATCAGCAAGTGGCAGTGTGACGGGGGTCAAGTCACAGGCCTCTGTCTCTCATCCAAAGTTGCTCATGTGGCCTGGTGAAAATGAAATGCTCCACACACTCACTGCATGGCATCGAGGTCCCAGCAGGCCCTATGTGGACTTCTGGCCCCTTCTCCCATTGTGCTAAGGAGAAGGGTGTTCCTCAGACTGAGGGACAGCCTCCACAGGCATCCCCAGAGTGAGGGCAGTCCCCGAGGGCTGGGGGTGCAAGGGAGAGAGGGTGAAGCAACATACAGGAATCACCATTCTACTTTATGTTCAGAGATAAAGAAAAGTCATTTGTAGACTGTGATGTTTGCACCTTGCAACTGGATATTGCTCACATTGGGTCCTGGACTCCTGACTTGGTGGGAAGACAGATGTAAAGAAAAGATAATTGAAAACCAAAAAAAAAAAAAGGGCTGGGTGTGGTGGCGCATGCCTGTAATCCCAGCAGCTCCAGAGGCTGAGGCCGGAGGCTCATAAGTTCGAAGCCAGCCTTAGCAATTTAGTGAGGTGCTAAGCAACTCAGCAAGGCCCTGTCTCTAAACAGAATACCAAAAAGGGCTGGGGATGCGCCTCAGTAGTTGAGTGCCCCTGGACACTAAACCCCAGAACCAATAAATAAACAAACAAATGGAAAAAAAAGCACAGTCCATTGCAAATAGTCCATGTAGAAATAGAGTTCCCCACGCCGAGAAGCTTTTAGACAGAAGAGATGGCATGTGTGGGAGTGAATGTCTTCCCTACTCACCCCCAGGAATAAGGAACCAAGGGGAGGTCCTGCAGCCCCACATATTGTTTCTGTCAGGCAAGGGTGGGGGATCCCACAGTGTGAGGATGACCCTGACGATAAGCAGAGGGACCTGCACAGGGTCTTACACAGCAGAGGGAAGGGTCAGAAGTGGGCTTTGGGAAGTCAACAGTGCGATTCAACTCTGTAAAAGGGAGGCCTAGTCTCTGCCTCTGCCTGCTGAAAGCTGGGGAAGGTCATGTGGGCCACTCTAGGAGGGACAGCCTCAGGCTGGGGGATTAGCCTGGACGAGTGACTGCTTTCTGATATTTGCTTTCCTGTCCCTCCTGGGGATGGGAAAGAGTCGTATTTTCACATAGCCGAAAGGTTCAGCCTCTGTCATGGGAAGCATGGCTGGACTGAAAATCAAATGTTTAATCAACTGGGGTATCATGTGGGGAGCACTAAGGCTGGGCCCATAGCGAGGGCTAAACTTGCTGCATTACTGGATCTAGCACAAGGAACTTGGGTTATCTTTTTATTTTTCTGGCCAAGTTATGTTACAGAACTGTGAAAAACAATCTTCTCTGCATGGCCCAACAATAGCCTCTTGGTGGCTGTCACTAAGATATAAGTGAATCTCCCAGCAGTGGTTAGCATTCATCATCTCTGTAGGTCTGTTCTTCTGGAATTGTGACCTAGGGGGACATGAAAACTAACTTTAAAGGGAAGTCACAGGTTCTAAGACTCCAAGCCCACTCTTTATTAATCTCATCCAGGTACACATGACATTCACGCTCTGATCCTTGGAAGAGCAATCACAGGAATTCAGGCGTTTACAGTTGGCAAGTGAACCCATTTCATTGGAGGACCTGGATGCTCTGAAGCCCCTTCCAGGAGAGATGTTTGGCTGAACCCTGGGACCACTGTGCTGTAGATGGTGGTAAATGGACCCAACTTGTATGATGGGAACTACTGACATACTGATTTTAAATATCAAAGTTTCCCTCTGGAAATCATCCAGAAGTGTTTCTTAAAAAGAAGATGGGATTCTCAGTGTTTCTTGATCCACTTTTAACTGTGGATGAGGTCAGATTCCATTTACCTTAAGACAGAAGCTTCTCCTAATGGAGTGGAGCAGGGAGGCGGAGGAGAATGACTCTGTAGCAACTTCATCAAGACCAACCTTGAGTTGCCCTGAGCAGACCCCAGACCCCAAGAGGGTGCATCGGGGCTCACTGTGCCTTCCTACCCTCCCATCCCGGAGCAGTGCCTTATTTATGTTGGATACTGGAGCAGAACAAGGGAAAGGAGAATAAAGAGCCTGCATAACTGACCCCACAGTGTCCGGCCATGTTTACTGGTAACTACTGGTAACCACTGCAAAGAAGTTTGGGGAGTTTCTCAGGGGAGAGGGCAACAAAGCTGGGGGCTTTGAATTGTTGGAACAGGGCGGGGACCTTGCACTGGAGTGGCCTGGCCCATTTATGAGTCTGGCCTCTGCTGTAATCAATAAACTTGGATGAGGCACTTCCTAGGCCCCAGGTCATATGCCAGGCTGCAGGGCTCAGCGCTGTGGGTAGAGGGAACATTTGCTGACTGGCAGGATTACACTTTGTCCTTTCTGTAGCCACACAGTGATGAGAAGTGACAGTGGTTTGGTTTCTCAGCTTGGACACACTGTTTTGGGGGCCACAGGGTTCTGTAGGGCGTGTGGCCCTGTTGTTAGGGCTGGGCAGTGGATTCCTGTCCACATTCACTCCCAGTTTAGCCATTACAAGTCCCCTTCCTCAGGACTGCCCCCAGCCCCACCCTGTAAGGATGTTACTCCCACCTCAGGCTGGACGCACAGGTCTTTGTACACGGACTCTACAGTGTGGCAGACTTCTTTGAGCTCTGTTTCCAGATTGCTGATCTTTGCCATTTTCTGGGTGAACTCTTGGAGCCTCTCCTGGATGATCCTGCTGTGGTGGTTGTAAACCTGGTACATTCTCTCCTCTAACTTCTCTGTCAGATCAGTGACCTTTAAGAGAAAAGTGTTCTTAGAAAATCAAACAAGCAGCATACCACAAGAGACTGGCTTCATGCAATGAGCAGGAGGGAGTTTATTGAACCAGCAAGCTGGGGCTCCGTGCCCCCTCAAGAAAGGAGAGCAGGGGCTGGGGATGT